TAAAGGATGTGGTTGGTGGCTTCTTGCACAGTTTAAAGGAAAGTGAACATCACTGAAGCCATTGCAGGGTCTGTTATCTCCTCCTCAACTAGGGCTATCATCACCTAAAAGCTTTTCAAGCTAAAATAAAAGTGGCTTGGAAGGAGTTGCGAGATTGCTGTGAAAAGGCAGCTTGAAAATAGATTCTAGCTGAAAGGAAAATCTCTCCTGGGTAACTTTCATCTGCTGATCTCAAACAAATCCAGAGGGTTTGCTTTCAATGCCTGCTGAGCTCTTAAAGGCATTGTAGGTGTTAATGATCCCTGTGTCCCACGAACATGCTGACGTTGCAAAATGAACGTAGACCTGTCTCTGACTACCACCTTTTCAACAGGAAAAAAGACGACAAGTGGGGACAGTCCCTCACTAAAAATAAATCCCAGTTGCAGCTGCCCTCCTCCTCCTCCCACCAGCCTCACAGCACAGCCAAAGTTTCAGGGCTTCCCAGCCCAGAATTCCTATTTACTACCACAAAACTCCATCATGTCCAGTGTTCTTCCCTAACATTTCCACCTTGGAGCTGCTTTTTGGGAACTGCATTTCTTCCTTCCCACTCATCCACTCAACACTTCATTTGTTCTTTCAGTATCGTTTTTCCCATCCTGGTCCGCTTTTCCCTTGGCTCACCTCCCTTCCCACCTAAGCCCACTAACCTCCTCCTCTAAGCCTTATCTTGAAAACTCCTTCGCTTGCTCCAATCCCAACTGCCCCAAATCGGCTGCTGCTCCATAATGTCCCCAGTGCTTCTGCTGGCCACCAGCCCCCGTCACCGCTGACCACCGCAGAGATCAGACCTGCGCTGTGTCTGACTGCCTGGATCTCCACCTAAGAGCTTCAGGTGTACTTGAAGGCTGAAAAAGAGGTGCTGTCTGCATCTTTACAAGCCTGCAGGTGTAAGGTAGCCCTTTCCAAGTATCTACCAGCGGCACTCACAGCAGGGAAAGTTTCCGTGTCGGGACTGGAGAAGGTAAGGCAGCACCACAAACCCTCACACTCACAGCAGCGCAGAGGTAACAAGTCAGACAGGCCCATATTTTTTTGCCCAGTTGCTCCTCTTCCCCGTTTTTCAGCCCTACCGTACGTTGAACGGCATGGATCTGAGCCGCGCTGGTGGACAACGGGAGCTTTTCAAGGAGCTCACGTCAGGGCAAAAGCCACCAAACTCCGAAGGAGCACAGAAGTTTGAATGAGAAAACCACTTATTCTCAAGCAATTTATTTCCCAATCCCTTCAAAGTTACCTCATTTCATATCTGTTTGACACCTCCTTTTCCTCTGCAGAAGGTGCAAAAGGTGTCAGGGGAGAAAAAAGGAAAGAAACAATTTGTTCTAACTTAGGCTCTGTAAGTGTCACTTACTGTGTGGAATATAATTGAAAAAGGACTGTGCTCGGCTGCAGGTTTACATGTCATCGCTGCCATACACACTGTGCCTTTCTGCTGCCTCAGGCCACGGGTGGCTTCTGCACACTGATTCGTACTGCGTGTCGTGGTTTAATCCTAGCAACTAAACACCACACAGCCGCTCGCTCACTCCCCGCTCCTCCGGTGGGATGGGGGAGAGAATCAGGAGAGTAAAAGTGAGAAAACTCGTGAGATGAAGACAGTTTCATAATTGAAATAAAATTTAAAAAATAGTAGTAGTACTAGTAGTACTAGTAGTACTACTACTACTAATAATAATAATGATAATAATAGAACATAGAAAGCAAGTGATGCATGATGCAATTGCTCACCACCCGCTGACCGATGCCCAGCCAGTTCCCGAGCAGTGGTCACTGCTCCCCAGCCAACTCCCCCCAGCTTATATACTGAGCATGATGTCATATGGTATGGAATACCCCATTGGCCAGCTGGGTTAACTGTCCTGGCTGTGCTCCCTCCCAGCTTCTTGTGCACCTGGCAGGGCATGGGAAGCTGAAAATCCTTGACTGGTATAAACACTACTTAGCAACAACTAAAACATCAGGGTGTTATCAACATTATTCTCATGCCAAATCCAAAACACAGCACTACACCAGCTGCTAGGAAGAAAATTAACTCTATCCCAGCCGAAACCAGGACACTGTGCAATTTTTTAGCACTGTCTTTACAAACAAGGTTCTGGGAAATGTGAAAGCACGTTGTCAGTGGCAATATGCAACCGACCATCAGGCAGGGTCCTCCTTCTTGACCTGCTTGAAGATGGGGGTGACGTTCACTTTCCTCCAGTGCTCTGGCACTTCTTCCAGTCACCGTAATCCATCAAATATTATTGAGAGTGGTCTTGCAATGTCATCAGCCAATTAGAATTGCAGAATTTGAAAAAAGAATATTAAACATGAAATATGTTTGTGCCAGCTGGGTTTCATGGATGTGCTGACCTCTTCTGGATGCACAATTCTCCCCACCACGTAATGAAGCCCAGACGACTCAGACAGGGCAATGCTGCCACCTTCCTGACAGTATCAAACCGAAATAATTTCAGGATTTTTCTCCTGGCAATTCTTCCAGTCCAAGAGCTCCTGTAGGGACACCCCCTGCCCGCAGGCTGTCGCATGGGCTTTCTCCAAAGGGGGTGATCACTGGGGAGGAGCAGGGCAGCAGCAGGGCCCTGGCTTGTGCATCTCCCATCAGCCAGATCCCTCAGCCCTCGCGGGTGCAGCCATCTGTGCCCGTGCACTTCTGTATGGCCAGTTTCCTTAAGTATTCCCTGACCTGATCCTCTTCAGCCAAGGCTGTGTCTGCCTTGCTCCAGCCTTTCCCCCAGCCTCTGTGACCTGGGATTCCTGAAGGCCGGTCAGGCTGGTAGAGACGGAGGCAAAGGCAGCTTTCAGTGCCGCAGCCTTTCCCACCTCCTCTGTGCCCAGGTCCCCACCTCGTTCAGCAGCAGGTCCTCATTTCCTCTTGCTGTCCTTCTGTCACCTGGGTGCTCACAGAAGCACTTTGTGGACATCCCAAAACATCAGGGTGTTATCAACATTATTCTCATGCCAAATCCAAAACACAGCACTACACCAGCTGCTAGGAAGAAAATTAACTCTATCCCAGCCGAAACCAGGACACTGTGCAATTTTTTAGCACTGTCTTTACAAACAAGGTTCTGGGAAATGTGAAAGCACGTTGTCAGTGGCAATATGCAACCGACCATCAGGCAGGGTCCTCCTTCTTGACCTGCTTGAAGATGGGGGTGACGTTCACTTTCCTCCAGTGCTCTGGCACTTCTTCCAGTCACCGTAATCCATCAAATATTATTGAGAGTGGTCTTGCAATGCCATCAGCCAATTAGAATTGCAGAATTTGAAAAAAGAATATTAAACATGAAATATGTTTGTGCCAGCTGGGTTTCATGGATGTGCTGACCTCTTCTGGATGCACAATTCTCCCCACCACGTAATGAAGCCCAGACAACTCAGACAGGGCAATGCTGCCACCTTCCTGACAGTATCAAACCGAAATAATTTCAGGATTTTTCTCCTGGCAATTCTTCCAGTCCAAGAGCTCCTGTAGGGACACCCCCTGCCCGCAGGCTGTCGCATGGGCTTTCTCCAAAGGGGGTGATCACTGGGGAGGAGCAGGGCAGCAGCAGGGCCCTGGCTTGTGCATCTCCCATCAGCCAGATCCCTCAGCCCTCGCGGGTGCAGCCATCTGTGCCCGTGCACTTCTGTATGGCCAGTTTCCTTAAGTATTCCCTGACCTGATCCTCTTCAGCCAAGGCTGTGTCTGCCTTGCTCCAGCCTTTCCCCCAGCCTCTGTGACCTGGGATTCCTGAAGGCCGGTCAGGCTGGTAGAGACGGAGGCAAAGGCAGCTTTCAGTGCCGCAGCCTTTCCCACCTCCTCTGTGCCCAGGTCCCCACCTCGTTCAGCAGCAGGTCCTCATTTCCTCTTGCTGTCCTTCTGTCACCTGGGTGCTCACAGAAGCACTTTGTGGACATCCCTGGCCACGTTGAGTTCCAGCTGGGCTTTGGCTTTCCTAACCTCATCCCTGGCAGCTCAGGCAATGTCTCTCTCTTCATCCCAGGCTTCATCCCTGTCCCTGCTTGAGGCTTTGCCTCCTTCCTTTCCGTGTCTGGGTTTGGCCAAGAGCTCCTGTTCACCCAGGCAGCCTCCTGGCATTTTTGCCTGACTGCCCACTCGTTGGGACGGAGAGCTCTGGAGCTTGGAGGAGGTGATCCTTGAACATCAACCAGCTTCCTTGGGCCCCTCTTCCCTCCGTTGCCTGATCCCAGGGGACTCTGCCAAGCAGACCTTTGAAGAGGCCAGAGTCCGTTCTCCTGAAGCCCAGGGCTGTGAGCCCCCTCTCCCCGCCCTCAGCATCCTGAACTCTAACCATCTTATGGTCACTGCAGGCCAGGCTGCCTTTGACCTCCACATCTGCATGAGCCCCTCCTTGTTGGTAAAGATGAGCTCCAGCAGAGCCCCTCTCCTTGTTGGCTCCTCTGTCACTTGGAGAAGGACGTTGTCGTCGATGCACTTAGGAGCCTCCTGGGCTGCTTATGTCCTGCCGTGTTGTACCTCCCTCCAGCAGGTCTCTGA